TTTCACTTTGTGTGGATGTGTGGGGGATTATGTTGCTGCTCCCTTGTGAAAAGATCAGTGTGTGTGTATGTGTGTGTGTGTGTGTGTGTGTGTGTGCGTGTGTGCAACCGCAGATCCATGCATATGTTCCACACTGCTTGTATGCTAATGCTGGTGCACGAGTCCATCATGTCTAACAGACACTTTAAACGAACTGCTATTGCCCTTCTCTCCACCAGAGGCACAAAAGAGCAAAGTGAGCCAGCTTTTACACAGGTTTCAACACGCTACTCATTCCATTCTATTATTACAGTGCTTTTGATTTCATCCCACTGTGATGCAGCTCACAGCTGGGCCTCTCATGGGTTTTCTGTATTCATCACTCAGCATAACCCTACAAATTATGGCATGAATGGAAAGTTTGAGCCCAGCAGAGGACTTTAGATTTTTCGGCCAGGCCATGTGGGCTGAAGGAAATGACCTACTAGCTTTTCAAAACATCCCCACGGCTGAGTTTGAGGCCAGCGCTCTGGCCCTGATTGCTGAAAGCTTAGCGAGGTGTTTCAGGGCTCAGTGACGATGTTATCACATAATAAGTGGCCTTAATGGGCTTCCAACTGTTTGTTTGAAAGGCTCCCGTAATGACAGGGATCAACTGATAACAGCCTCAGCAACACACTGCAGAGAGCCATCAGACCTTCTCACAGATGAACAAACGCCATTGCACGCTTATTCAGATATCAGCAGCTACAGTGGGAGTCTGCAGCACACCCAGGTTGAAGAGAGGCACTGAGGTTTTCTGGATCTTCCATTTATGCATTAAGCAAAAAGAAAAGCTTACTATGCGGACATGTGCAAACACAGTCGGCCCACCCCTTCCCATCCCTCTTCTGTCTCTTCCCACCTCCTTGCAAAACAGGTATTTCCAAAGAACTCTGGTGCCAAGACAGAGCACCGCCATGGGAGGTGCTCTGGCAGGTCAGCACAGTGTGCACATCTAAACAAAAGGTAGGTGTCACCCAGGGTACCTTTCTTACAACAATTACGCAAAAAACTCTGAAGTTGTGCAAGCATGAAGAGCTACTGACTGCACACACACACACACAAAGATACACGGTGAAATTTCCACAGTGCTACTCCCTTTATGTGAAAGGTATTTTCTCAGTCTGGCGTACAGACAAGCCTGACAACAATGAGCAGGACTGTTAAGTCAACTCCTGAAGAAGTAGAAGGAGAAGAAAAAGAGGGCCTGGGGAATGTCCAAACCGAGGCCCTTTGTCTTCCCCACTAACATTTAAGAGAGCGGGGAATGAGACTGCTGTCAGCAAAATGACTTGTAACATTCCTTGTCAAGGGATACACCAATAGGATGTTTTAAAAGCAGATAAAAAAAAACAACAGAGAGTTTTCCACTGAGCTGCCAGCATTTAAACTGAACTAAGACGTATTTTTGTACAGTGAAACGCAGAATTAGTCCAGCAGGCAATTCTTTTAATATTCAACTGACAGGCATTTATTTGACATTCAAGCAATAGCTGCAGCTCGTAATGTAAACATAATGAAATAGTAAATTGTGACAGTAAACACCATTCAACCAGCACGGCTATGTTAATATAGAGACACTTAAAAAAACATGTCAGTCTCGACAAATTGAAGCTAACTGTCACTGTGATCCTGACTTGATCTTTGTCCCCAGCTTTTCTCACACTCTGACCCGAAGCTTAAACCAAATAACTGCAGTCCTTAACCCCTGCGAACGATACTACTGCCAGCGTGGATGTGTCAGTACAAGCAGTCGTGTATGAAGCCCCAGTGCATGTGGTTGCCTGCGTCTGTTTGTGCTTTGATACTTGTTTTTGTTTTAAGTCATGCCAGCATAAAAACCATAAAGAATCCATCTGTCAGCGTGGTGGGATTTCATTCTGCGTCAGGGGTATGTTTCTAGTTTTTAGATGAAAGAACTGCTGTGTGTGTGTGTGTGTGTGTGTGTGTGTGTGTGTGTGTGTGTGGCTTCATGAGAGAGAACCAGACAGAGAGCAAGAGAAACTGAGAGGGAAGAGTGTCTCCGAGTGCATGTTTGCCTGTGTGTATATATATGTGTGTGTGTTTTTGCTGGGTGTGTTCTTGGATTCCACCACACCAGGACATTACCCCCAGGTGCTCTCTCTCTCTCTCTCTCTCTGGTTCTGTGAAAATACCTTGAGGATTAGGTGGGCAGTGGCAGTGGGAAGGAAGAGAGGGGGTGAGGTAGTGATTGACGGCTGAAAGGCTGGAGAGGTGCTCAGGCATGCTGCGGTGGTGGTGGGGGGAGTAGGGGGCTGCACACACAGGCAGGCTCCGCGCTCAGCTGTTGCCACCCACACCCATTATTACTCCTCCACTACCACACACCACCACCACCTGCCGCCCCTTTAACACTGCACCCAGATCAGATTTCAAATAACTTCTGCTTACCTTTACCTCATGGCTTAACCTCAACAAAAGTGCTCATTCTTTTCTCTCGCTCTCTCTTCTGGCATTATTATCATCAGTGAATTATACCGCAGTGGTTCCACACAAGGATCCTCCCTGACCTAGAATCCTGTTGCTGATTAGTGGTTTTGAGACAAGCAGGTGTTTTGAACAACGAGAAATGTACGTCGGCACCGTGCGTTTCATCTTGCTAGTTTTTGCACAACAGAAAAAGACTCTGGATTGCCAACAATCTCCTCTTTGTGCTCTGTTCTCTATACATCATCCCCGTCTCAGCGCTTCAGAATGTAACAGTGCCCCCTATGGTCAAGCATAGAAGTACACAGTTGACAGGGGAACGCTGCTGTGAATCAAGTCCAGTGTCTAGCTCACCTTTCATTTTAATTATACGATCAGTCACCGCTGTCCAAGTCAAATGTTTGAACTGCATTAGTACTCATTTTAACTATTTTGATGCTCAGTACTCATCACTTAATACATAATTCAATGTGTTTTGTCTATAATTACAGACTTGTGCATTATCTGCCTCACAAAAGCTCTGTGAGAGGTCCAGGCACGCACACGCGCACGGATACACGCACGCATCGTGAAGCCAGAGCTAGAGCTTGCGGTCATAACCACACCATCTACAAGCATAAAGCATATAAGGAAACCGCAGGAGCAGAGTAATCATTGTACTGATGAAAGTAGACTTTTTCCTCATGGTCTCTTTGGGGGATTTTTTTCTACCACTGGTCCTATATCACAAACAGACGCTAAAGTTTTCCATTTCCACAAAATTACACATAATGTAGTGCAATTTAAATTAAGCCATATTTCCCCTTTTCCAGTAGATGGTGTTTAATGCGACCTGACTAAAAATAAAGTAATGGCCGTATGCATACTTGGAACTGAGATGGAAAATGAGAGGAAAGGCAAGTCAAGCACAAACACACAGAGTAATGAAAATGACTTACAGAGAGCAGCCATCTCTTTGGGCAGGTCAGCCCCAAATCTCCCAAACAGGCTGCTGTTGGCCAGCAGGTCGAAGGGGGAGTGGCTTCTCATGGAGTTGAAGGGAAAGGGGTACACAGCAGGTGGGAAGCCGGTCATGTGACCCACCTGCTGTTCCCTGTTTGTAGCCATGGCGACGGATCACCCAGGGTCCACAGCAGGCGGCTAGCTGAAGGTAACGGCTCTTTCGACACCTGGAATCCTCCACAAGGCTGAGATGTGTGTCCGTCGAAGAGTCTTAAGACGTGGAGAACGTATGGGCGACAGGGGGCCTCGGAGGTACTGAAGGATAGGTGGACTCCACTTTAGAAGAGTCCTGCTGTCTCTTTTCTGCAGATGAGAGGATAAGAGTAAATAATTTCCTATTAATTTAATTCCACATAAAATATAAGAATAAGTGCTTTTGATTGGCATGAACATGATGATACGATTAGTGTTTTGTTTGATGCTAAGATCTGCTCTAGATTCAACAAACAGGATTCACCTCACATCAACTCTGATTCCATCTGGGTCCCATAATAGTTCATCCACAGTTTTAATGCGAGAAGGATGTGTAAACTTCATACCAACAGGTATGAGCGAATGGGAAGGAAAGAGGAAGTGAGGAAGGACGAGATGGCGAGAACCATAACAGATAGAGAGAAAAAGAATGAGTAGGCTCGGAGAGGGAAAAGCCAGAAAGAAAAGAAAAAACTGGGACTGGGTGAGGGGAAAAGAAAATAAGAAAGAAGTTTGGAAAAAGTTATAACAGTGAAGAGTGGGAAGGAAGGAGGGAGGAGGAAAAGAGAGGGGGAGAGAGAGAGGGAGCTCTTGTACAGTTTTGAAGAGCTTCCAGACTTCTACAGTGATTCCAGGCTATACCATATGATTTAAATCACCAGAACTCTATTATAAAGAGCTCCTCTGTTCCTGCTGCCAGCCTAGCACAGCAGCCTGCCTCTTTGCCTTTTTCCCCTAGGACCAGGGGCCCAGACACGGGGTCCAGAGCATGAAGAAGGGAGGAGGGGGGGGTCGATGAGTAGGGAAAATGAGATCCACTGATTGCTAACTGCTGCTGTCACTTCCAACTATCTTCTCTTGAGGTCAGGCTCCCATCCCACAGAGTCATTTTGGCTGTAGCCTCCTGCAGCCTTCTCGTCACTTTGACACCACACAGTGGGCATAGACAAGTCAGGCTCAAGTGCAGACAAGGCTGCAGTTATGCCCCTCTGTCGACTCTCAATGCAAAAAGGGGGGGTGAAATATAAAAGAGGCCTCCCATTTTCTTTTTCATGTTTTCCTTTTGCTTGTGCTTCCTTAGTGTGATTTCATGAGTGGGTGGTGTGATCAGCTTGTTTTTTATATGTGGCTTTGAAAAAGAGCAGAGCCAAGGAATTTGGAACTGCTGTGGCTTGTGAATCTGGGAGAAAAGACAGGGAAAAAATCCTGGTAATGAATTCGGTATAAACAAAGAAATGGAGGGGTGGGGTGGTGGGGTGGGGGTGGTGGAAAGATCTAAGGCTAAACCAGTGAACTGCTGAACTGAGCGAAAAAGCACAGTGGAACAGTGACAGGGTCTGGGCACATGGGGGCACTAAGAGGTGGCGCCATGCCCGGGAAAAAAGAAGGGAGAGCTTTCCAAGAAGCACACATATGCGCCACACACGCAATCAAGCACTCAAAAACTCCACACATCACATGTGCGAGAGCATCCCCTAACACACGCACACATATGAACGCACACACACCTCTCACCCCGTGCCTTTTTCCAGGGCTCTGGCTCCCTCCCTGCCTCTCTTTCTGGCTCTTTCTCTTTCAACAGAGCCAGTTAATTACACCCTACTGCTGCAGGCAGCTTCAAACCACCACTAATTTAGAGTTCCATTACAGTAAACTGTTCCACATGTGCATCCAGGGCCCAGGCAGGCTCGGGTGGCCACGTTTCAGGAAGGAGCAGCCGCGGATAGGCACCCACCCCCATCCTGCCAACACAGCCATACTGCCATCTTTCTTCTTCTTTCTCTCTGTTTTACGTCTTTACTTTTTCCAGTATATTTCTCCTCCAACCTACCTTGGACCCCACCCCACCCCTTCCACTTCTGACCCGCCTACACCTCTTCTACATAATCATATCCTTATACCCAGTCTTATCCTCTGTGCCCCATCCCTCCATCCTTCCACTGCTTATACAACTTGTACCATGACCCTGCGTAGTGATTCCACTGTGCAGCCAAGGCGCAAAAACATTACTGGAGACATCACACGATTTCACACTGGGCCTAATGAGAGAAGAGGTACAGACTGCAAAAACAAGACTGCCAGCAACGCGTAGCCTCATAATGTGCATGTGTGTGCGGGTTATGAGTATGTACTTGGCTAGCGTTCGGGCCATTTGGAGATCTGCTTCAAGAACTCAAACCAGACCAGGCCCCATAGAGGCAGCACAATGTGTCTGCAAGAGCTGGAAGAGAGAGGAGGATAAAAGAAATGGGTGACTGTGTGAGAAAAAGAAGACTGACAGCGGAGTTTACAAATCAGTGCGTGTGAATTATGTATTCTGACAGGAGGAAAGCGTGGCATATTAATTCAGAAATTACATTTAAAATGGGTCTGAGAGACAGTCCAGAGGCTGAATTCTACCAGAATAAACCACAGCTCCACTCCACATTCAAATATATGTTGCAAAACAAAGGCATTAAAAAAAAGAAAGAAAAAGACTTAGAAGGAAAAGAACTGAAGCACAGAGACGCAGCCTTTTAAAATAGAACCCAGTAACGTTACGCTCCCTAAACACAATAATGAATTAATAAAAGAGTTGGCGCCAGAGTTTTTTAATGAGTCACATCAGCCCAGCAGCTTTTTACAGAGCCATTTATGTTTTATGTTGGGTCCTGTGGTAGGCTCACTTCGCCAGCCCGTCTGGGGCTATAAGGGGATAAGGGGAATTTGGAGTGACCTCATCCCCTGTTAGCCAGGGCCAAATGGGCATGGAGGGCCTCCCCACTTCCCCTGAGCCTGGGGGGCACACAGGAGGCAGCAGGCAGCCAGGCAAGCAAGGAGCACCAGGGCCAGCTATGGGTGGGTTTACGGCTGCTGCTGGGACTTTCCATCATTGCCTAAGAGAGGTGCACTGTAGCAGTTTAAATTTGCTTTGGTTTGTTTCTGTAAATAGTGTCAGAGCTCACTGTAGTCCATCATGTTAGACTAAAGTCATTGGTTACACTTGAGATAATCCAATGATTTTCATGTAGCAAATGATGTTGGATCAATCAACCTGGCAATATGGAGACAATGCAACAAGATCAGGCATGCTTGCAGAGAAGGAGATTCTCTTGTTTGCTGAGGAGTTTTGCGGAGAAGACGGAGCAAAATGAAAAATCAAGTAAGAGTTAAAAAGAAAGCGAGAGAGAGAGAGACAACAGTTCCCACAGATTGAATGTCTGTCAGACAAAGGGTATCAAATCCTCTGTGAGCAAAACAACAATTGTGCCTTAACTGTTGTGACAGAGCCCCTCAGGCAATAAGAACTGCAGTCAAACATAACAAATAAATCACAGCATCTCAGGAAGCTCCGCACCACACTACCAAGCGAGGCAGCTGTTTTTTTAACTCTGCAAAAGAAACCACAGGTGATTACTCGGCATACGCGAGCAGGACTCTGGATGCCATGACTTTCCTGGTTTGTTTACCGGTTGAGGTTCTTATTCCAGTCAGTGAGAACACAGAAGAATATTCAGTTAGAATTTTATATTTGCATGGCTATAAAGGCACTTTTTCCCACTCTTACCACACTGACACAGAGACCTCTCTTTGTTTCATTTCTCCAGAAACTGAGCGAGTTCACAGATTTTTTGTTGAGCTTCATCAACTCAGCAGAGGGTCAAAATATACATGTTTCTGTGAGGCAAAATTAAAAACTGTGGAACTATCCTGTGCAGAGCAGAAACCCAGCGCCTTTACCAGAAGCTCTGAATTGTACATTCACAGCCTCGAGATAAATGAACTGTGCCATCTATCCTGGCAGGGAAAACATCCTCTCACTCTTTTTCCACTTCTGACTTGCCCACTCCTGTCAGTTTTTTGACAGAAAACTGTGCATGCCTTCCAGGTACTGTCTTTAAACTGCTGACATCACAAAGTGAGTTATGTTCATTAACTCTATAAAGGAAATGATGTGTTGAAAAGAGTTATATTTTAAGTAGTTTGTACACCAAGCTGTTAAAGAATGATTTCAAAGTCCAGGTGTCCAAACTGCACCAACGGACCAGTGTTTCAACAGCTCGGAGCTAAAAACACGTTTACTGTTATAATCACTGCTTGACATGCCCACATCCAGCCTTCAAAAGCCGTTAATGGATTCAGAGCTGCACAGGCAAATTTAAACGCTCCTACTGAAACAGGTTCACAGGTGATCTTGTTGCAAACGTCAGCAGTACTTTACCTGAGAAAACAATAGCCGTGACGCTTTTATCTGATGCAAAGCTGACAGCTTCCACTCTTTCAACAAGTAGCTGGTTAATGGCTCCAAAATGACAGACGCTCCAAACACAGTTGCATTCCATCACCTGAAACTTGTTTGACATCTGCCTGTTCTTGGCATCACACAAATACCATTTCCTTGAAACAACAATGCAAAGAAGCACCTCTGTGTAATCGTTTGTCACTTAAAAAAGGGATTGTTTTTTCCTCTTTTTTTGTTAAAGAGCGCCATGACTGTCGCTGTCACCTAGTCACTATTTTAAAATCATTTTTCTGCTCTCACTTAATCATAATGTCACATAACGATCTGAGTTGACATGCACTTGTGAGAAGAGCTATGGAAAGAGTGAGAACACACAGTGAGACATAAAACGCTTCGCGACATGATGAAGTCATCCTGACTGCTTGCCGTTTCCATGATGCGCCTCTCTCTGCAGTACACAACACAGAGACTTTTAGCAGTTGGTCAAGCAAAACAGGAAAACATGCAATGATGAGGAAAAGGGCAAGTGGCAGTAAGCAAACATGACAAATATAGAGAGAGGCGGAGAAAAAAAAGGTGAGGGAAGAAACTTTAAAATAGCAGCAGTGTGAAAGTCAAAGTCTGTGCTGCTAATATGTCTGTGTAGGAAGACGTAAAGGATCCACAGAGGCAACAATGGAGGTGTTTCCCTTCCTAAACACACGCTGAAAACAATCCTCTCTGTGTAGAGCGAAGAGTAATGGATGGGTTTCACCACTGCTGCCTTTAGCCGCAGGACTCAAAGCAGCAGTCAGACACATGCAGGCCCAAACACACACATAAGCAAGCACAGCATTCAAAAGGCCACACTTTCACACAAGTTCATCTTTTTTTGCCATTGGCACAAGGTCTTTTAACGAGAACTTGGGTGGAGGCTTAGATGTAAATCCTCACATCAGAATGGCACACCTGCAAAAACAGACATAGGAAATGGCGTGCAGATAGCTTCCTGGTTAATTATAGTGCGGCAGCAGAGAGCCCCTCGATTTTCCTAAACCACCTGTCTAACCCCTCCCCACCACTTCGCCTTAATTGCTAAAGAAATTCCAGAAGAAGACAGGTATCAACAACTCCCTGATTTACCACTCGAAGTCATGTCACAAAGAAGGATTGTTAGCAGATTTTGCAATGCAGACGATTTCCTGGCTCAACTGCTGTTTCAGTAATTCCACCAAAACCAAGGATTTATCAACAGCACCTACACACAGAAACACACACACAAAGAGACGTACACACACAGCTTTGGCATTACTAAACTTTGACGGATTTATAGGAGATAAAATATTATTTCATTGCTGTATACCATACTTAGAACTAAAGAAATGACCACTAGCTGTACAGAATAATAAAATGTATTATCTGCTATGTATTAGTTTTAAAGTTATTGCTTTAATTGAAATACAGCATATTGCACCAGTATATGCTGCTAATCAGTAATGACAGATGATACAGCATGTGAGCAAGATTGATATTGAGAGGATGTTTTCAAGGCCAGTGATGCAACACTGCACACAGGTATACTGAGCTAAGGCACACACTTATCTGGTGTGCAAAACAGCAAACACATTAATAATTGATTCCAAACTGTCATGGAAGACAAGCAATTTGCCGTGGCTGCGCACCATGAAGGTAAAGCTGCTTCTGTATGGGTACCCTGTCCTTGAATAAGGCCCAAGAGCGCTTTGCTGAAGGCGAAAAGTGCTGTGACATTTTTCTGCCACAGAAATGAGCTCGGCTTCTTCCACTCCAGATGACACGACTTGTCACACTGATAGACCAAAGCGGAGGGGAAACATAGAAACCACTGGCCTTCAAGCAGGCCTCCCTCACTGGGCCAAGTGGCTGTTTATTTCCAATTCACTTTAATTAGCCTGTTCCTCATGCCAAATACATCCAGTTCACCGCCGAGTGTCAGCAGGTGGAAAGCCAAGGGATTCAAGGAAGGCAGTTTACCGTGGCTTTGTTGCTCACCAGTGGAGCGACAAAGCCAAACACTGTGGAGGACACTCTGAACTCTATCTGATATCCAGATCACACAGCATTAAATGCACTGTGTTACACATGGCTGTAACAAGCTGAACCTGTTAACCTAGCGCAGATGCCAGCATCAATAAATAATCTTCTCTGACATCATAGCTAAATAACTGTGGGAGCACAATTAATAAACATCCCACAAAACTAAAACCGGGGTTACGAGCACACCTCACTCCAGAGGAATTAGTCTCCGTTGTTTAAAATATGGAAAACAACACTCGTATTTTCCAAGTGTTCATATGGTGGTTATAAAAAATGGAGAAAAAAACAGGTCAAGGACTGGTGACTCCTCTAGTGAATACACATCAAACACATGCAATTGTGTACACACTGACACACACATACACACGCACACATATGCTAATAATAAAGAGCTCCACAGGCACTGGGTAACACTTGAAACACTCGCTAATAAGCACATGTGTGCACATGCAGGCATACACACATGCTCGAGTATGTTTTCACATAAACTCTGTGTCGCTCTCGTGTTTACGAAGCACAAAGAAGCAAACATACTGAAACAGGCGCATCCAAACAAACACGTGTGGGGACATTTTAGTGTTTACACATGAAAATCTGCTCGGACTTTGTAACACAATGATTAATTGTCTCAAAGTCTCTCAAGTGTCTTGCACATTCGGTCTCTGTCTTCAATTAAAACCGCTGAACCAGTCTCAGAAGAGAATGCACTCTCTCACACACACACACACACAGACACACACTCTGTTAGCAGTAAAAGAGAGAGAGAGAGAAATAAAAAGCAAGCATCCACGAAAGTTAGCGACTCTAAACTTTTAAAGTTCAAATTACTTACGAGATGTCGAGCTGATGATGCAGACGGGGAGATAAAGCACTCGACAAAAGGGTCCGATGACCGGAGCGAGCCAATGAAAAGGAGGAAAGATGTGTGCACATTCAACAGAGTCCTTCTAACAGCAAAGACAGAGCAGCAGTGAGTCTCTCTCTCTCCCTCCCTGTCTCTGCCACCCTCCTCCTCCTTTTCCAGTCTCTACCTTTTAAAAATCAGTCTTTCACTCTCCAAATACAGGCACACACTCTCTCACTCACTTAGAAATAATTATACTCTGATTCATAAAGCCTTCCTTTGTCACGTGACCCCGACGCTTCAAATATACAGCACATTTTTTCACAAGCCACAAAATGCCTGGAGGGAAGAAAAGGGCCCAGAGAGCTTAAGTTTCTGTTTTTAATTCTCTCTCTCCCTTCTTTGTCTCTTGGGTGAATTATTTTCTCCCCCCACCTCTTAACTTCTTGGCTGAAGAGTCAGTTTACCTACAAATTGTTTGTGCATGCTGAACCGCATGTCGTGATCTTAGATCATTTGTGTTTCATCAATAAGTTAAGTAGGTTTATTAGGAGAGGATGTTTTAGTATCCCGAAGAACACAGATCATCCACTTTATATTGTTTTGATTTAACACAGACACTGTTTTAATAGCGAGCCAATCTGTTTATCCCTCTAAGAATTTCTATGATGTTTCACTATGTAATTTATCCCTGGTGTGATCAATTTATGGAACAATCTTAATGGACTGTCTGCTCGGCACAGGCCCACGCTGAAGGTGCTCCTTTTGTGTGACTCATATTTGCATTGGCCTGCGTTTTACTGCTTACAATGTTTCTGTGCCAATCTTCCCACAGATGAGACAGTAACTTACTACTATTATTGCTATTACTAATGCTGCTACAACAGCACTTAACATTAAAACAGCAAGCATGAGGAGCCCTTTGAAACCCATTAAGCCAGTATTGGACACCAAATAATTGATACAATAACATTTGGCACTGGGGTTAAATAAAAAACAGAACTGGGCCTTGACTGGCATGATTTTTTATTTTTATTTTTTTTTTGGGGGGGGGGGATACATGACATTTGCCTAATTACTGACAAACTTTATAAGGAATAGTTTGGGTTTTTTGTTTTTTAAGGCAGAAAATGTGTTTTTAAAAAAGCAGACCCATCTCTCTAAATATATCACTTTGGTTCCTGAATCGAAACTAGCGTTGGCACATAAGCTGCAAGGAAGTCACGAGTGAGATGGCAGGGCTGTGCAGCGACAGCAGCAGATCTGGGTGTGCCCCTGAACGTGCCCCTCTCTCCATATGAGATCATATGTTTCAGATCTGTGTTTATGTGTTTGTGGTTCTGGGCGTGTGCCCTGTTTTTTTCTGAATGTCATGTTTCTCAAGTTGTTTTGGTTATGAGGAGCACCTCAAACCTCAAAACTGGGAGGGGAAGGCACACCTCAACTGGCACCTAAACAGGCACCTCTTCATATCGACTATGGTTTCTCAGATTATCCCCCCCCCTCCCCCACACACACACACCCAAAAACAAAGAGAAAAAAAGGAAGAAGAACAAACCACATACGGTCAGTGTAACTACATGCCTACTTCATTCAAACAACAGATAGGGAACAGCTAGTCTAAACAAAGCAAGTACAACACTAAAAACAAAATTAAATCAGAACTAACGTGTAATATTTACTCTGGAACTTCATCTAAAGTCGTGACTTTCAGGCCTGTTGGCCATGCATCACGGCACAATCTCCTAAATAAGATAGAATAGAATAAAAATATCCTTTATTGTTCTTCATTGGGGAACTTCATGAATCTCATAAATCTCATAAATCTCATGGTCTGAACCGGAACTACCAAACATTGCAGCATGTGGATTTTTCTGTTTCTCTCCAAAGCTACCTGCACATCCACGGCCGTCCGCCTATTCTGTTTGTAAACCTCAGCAACTGGCCTGATGCGGAGATAGATCTTATCCTCAAACGCATTGACCCCAATATGTCTGCGGGATAAAGTCAAGCCATCCTAATGAGAAAAAAAAACCTTTCGGCTTTACTCTCGTTATTCCTGTGAGCTTTCGATCTTTACGAACACATGTGGGCTACAGTAGCCCACCAAACTGTTCCTCCAGACATTTCTGATGCCGGTACAAAATCAGGGTGAATGAATGGATAAGTGGCGAGAGGCACTGTTGCCTTTTTGCAGAAACCTTATGTTCAGGAAGCACAGATCTAAGCCACACTGCAAAGAAAAAAAAAAAAACTTTGGCTGATCTTTATCTTGTTTATATTTGATTTATGTGCTGCTTATGAGGCTACTAAGGCTGATAGAAATCCCTTGAATGTTTATGAAGCACTACTAAATCAGCAGTTGTGTAATATAAAACAAGAAAGTAAATATAGCCATAGGATGCTTAAAAAAAATCACCAATTCTAATATGAGCTTTTCAAGTATGTGTGCAGCCATCAGGCCGACTTAGACCATGCATCTGTGTCAGAATGTGTAGTCAAGTGCATGAAGAGCATTGTGTGTGGCGGTGCACGGAGCATGCTGTGGCCCTTATTAAATTATGACAGTGAGCTTGGGGGGGGCATTTGAGCACTGTGCAGTTGCAGTAAGTGTGTGGGCACCCGTGTCTGCGTGCATGGATGAGTGTGTGTAGGCAGTAGCAGTGAGAAGGTCAGAGGTTACTAGTGTTTGTGTTTCAGTGTCAGTGAAGTGTGCTCCAGGCTGAGATTTATGATCATTGTGTCTGGGAGGCTGCAGAGTGGGGGGATAATGAAGACAGATCAGGGTGCTATCTCTCTCTCTGGGCACCACTGGAAACATGGCCTATGGCCCTTGCCATTCTCGTATCATTAACTTCAGCCCGTGACATCATAACACACTGCCCCTGACATCAATCCTAACACAGTGTGCTCTCACAAGAAGTCAAACACAGAGAGGCAATTCCTCACAGGAAGTCATCCGGCAAACACAGGCATTGTTGAGCGCATAGCTTTGCAGTTTCTCCGGGTGTGTTTATGAAGATATGAAATATTCATGGAAACATCATACTCGGGCGTGTGTTTCCACTTTAGATTCCACGTATTTGCATTTGCGGAGCAGAGGAGTAGAGGCCTGGGGCTCGCCGGCAGAGGAAAGGGAGTAAGGGCAGAAAGGAAAGAGGAAAGGGGGGATGATGCAGGGTGCAAGAGAGGGAGGAAGTGAGGTTAGAGGGGTTAAAGTGAGATATGGGGGGGTAGTACAGGGAATGTGAGAGAAAGAGGTGTGGAATAAAAAGAAAAATGGAGGGCCGGTTTGAGACACAGATGGATGTGGTGGAGTGGGGTAGGTTGAGGGGAGCATTGGCGGTGGGGAGGTGAGAAGGGGGGCAGGGAGTCGGTGTCAGTGGCGGCGGGTTTCAATCAGTAACAAGATGCCTATAATGAGATCACTATTTCCCCACATTCAGATTGATGTCATGAGAAGTTTGGTGCCGCGCTGAGACGGGCAAGGGACGCAGGGGCAACGGCACACAGCAGCTCATTTGCACAAACACATTTATGCACACACAAATGTACGCACGCCTGCTCTTTCTTGGTTAGAGTCTTATACACACATCCTGTGAAATGAAGGAGCTCATTCATCCCACCTGGCAAAGTGCGCTCATTTAGAGTCCAGCAGCCTTGAAGTAAAAACATACACAGAGGAATACTACTCACAGGAAAATGAGTTACTCATGAGCAAAGGAGAAATGTATGTGCGAGGGACCGGAGGGCATATACCAGTATGAACTCCTCTAACACAAACAAATGAACAAAAAGCTTTGAGCAGAGACAAGAGGGAGCCAAAAAAACTGTTTTACTACTACAGAAGAAATAAGAGGGGGGGGTAAAAGTGTGTGTGTGTCGGCACTTTTTGCGCATAACTTCGGGTGCATCCAGAGTTTGTCGACACAGCTACCAGCGTGTGTGCCAGCACATGAGCGCTCTGCCTGATCCCCAACATGTGTGTCCAATGAGAGGTGAACGGTTCTCCTGTCTATACTTTCCTCAAAAAAAAGAAAAATACAAAATCAGCCATGATGTCACCATGAACCCATCTTGAACCCACCTCTGTCAAAAAGCATTACTCCAGCCCTCCCTCTCCCTGCCTCATTTTCTGTTCCACCTCTCCCTCCTTCACACTCCTGCCTCTCAAATTCTTCACTGAGCTCCTTTTCTTTTTCATATTTCCGTATTTTTCAACATTTCCCCTCTCTGGTCCATGTCTCTTCTTTTTTTTTCCTCTCCCCCCTCCCTTCTCTTCTCATACTAAAGAACACAAGCTCTTTTTATTCTGGCAAGCATCATCTAATTGAATCACCAAAATGCACAACTCTTTGCCAAAAATGCCAGGATGTTCTGATTATCATAAACTTTGTTTAAGCTGTGGTTTTTCAGGGAGAAAAAAGAAAATGCTCCGAGTGCACGAAGAAAAGCCAAAAATAAAATAAAAAAATAAAAGCAGGAAAAAAAAGAGCGATTGGGGAGAATGCAAATGAAAGAGGGGAGAGGGAAAGAGAGAGCAGTGGGGAAGAGAAGGGTGGTGGGGGCAGCCAGAAGGCAGCCAGAGAGCCACATATGGAAGTGATTCTGTAATTACTGCAAATCTGTGAGCTCAAAAGGAAAGGTCTTCTTTTCCATGCCTCCTTCCCTGCATATAAAACTGCCCTTGTGAGAAACGTGGGCACTAAATACTGCACAGGGAGAGTGCACAAAAAAGTACAAGTTTTCCTTTTCTTGAGCACTTAGGCATATGTTTAGTATGCTGAAGTCAGACAAAGGTTTAGTTTTGTGTATTTCTGTACAGAAGGGGGAAACAGAACAAAACTAATCATGAGGCTAATTCCGCACATTCTGCTACTGGGAAATTTCTGAGCTCAATCAACCATCCTGGACGTCAATCTAAGACTACTTTGGTGGTTCATTCTGGAATAAACTTCTCATCTACCGCACACCCGGCGTCATTCACATAACACGCAACAAGATGTGTGTGTGCGCGCCCGTGTGTGTGTGTGAGGCAGGGAGGGAGTGGGCGGTGGGGAGCCGGGTGACAGACGAGGTACGCACAGGCAGAAAGACTGTAAGAAAGTGATGAAGACAGTGTTTGAAGCCCCGGGCAGAGCAGTGCTCTCTGCAGGTGTGTATGTTGGCAGAGACTTCTCTCTCTCGCTCAGTCCCCGAACAGTTTTAGCAGCCTGTAATTATCCCGTGCCCTGCCGTAACGTGTTCTAATGATGAGTGCGTGAGTCTTCGCATACATACAGTAAACACACGCCCGGGTTGACGCAGTTTGAGCTCCGTTTACTCTTAGACACATGCAATTAATCACGGCGGTAGATGATTTATGTAAAGTACACAGTCTTACCTTCTTCTTCTTCTTCTTGGCCTTGAGAAGTTTATGCTTCGGCTTCCAACGCGAGCTTATTTATTCCACAGAAACTAAGAAGACAGAGGTTTTCTGTGAAGGAGACAAAGCAAAGTCAGTTACAGTCTTTAAAGGTGTCCTCTTTGGTGTTTGCTCTGCTTCAGGGATCTTTCAGTCATTTGTCAGATTACGATCCTTTGCCAGTCGGTCACTGTCGCGGCAGCAGCTTCAGGGGCGTCGATGGGAACCACCGTGCGGACAGATTTATGACACTACTACGCCACCTAGTGTGCGAGGGGAGGAGTGCAGCAACACTTCCGCTTAGTACGATGGAAACCACCACAAAGGTGAGCAACAAAAAAGTACACGTGTCAAAAAAAAATAAAGAACACTTCAATGTGAACTTACAGAAGCTAATAAATACTAAACCTTTCCTCGTTGCCTAAAATGATATCTAATTTGAAGGAATGCAAACTTGCTATTAGCCTACTACTATACTACTACTACTATTACATTCGTGCAATGTTAGAATAAACATAATAGGCTATTTAATACAGTTTTCCGACGTTAACATTCTCCTTATTGGGCTAATAGTCATTCAGTCGAATAGGGCCATTAAAACAATTAACTCAGTAGATTGGTTGCTGAGAAAGACTAAAGGGTTTTTTAGGTTAGCAAAATAGTCAAATAATTTTCATTACATGTTAAAGCAAGACACTTCTTCCTATAATAAAATCCATGATAAATCCGTTTATTGTTATTATTATTATTATTATTATTATTATTGTTGTTGTTGTTGTTGTTGTTGTTGTTGTTGTTGTTGTTAAGAATAAATTAGAAATAAAGTAAATGTTTGTTTGACTTGATGGCTCGTTTGTTTTTATTAAAATTAGCCTATGGTTACTTTAGATATTTAAGCAAATAATAAAAACGTGTTTGCGGCATTTTTTAAAGTAGAACGGCTGGTTTTCCACACAGTGGAATCACCGGGAGTCACGTGCATTTGTGCTTGTGATCTGAAACACTTGTTAAGCGTTAATGCTTTGAATTGCCACCGAGGGGCGCTTTCCACAAGTTACCTCCATATGCGCCTGCTTGTTCAAAGCTAATGTTCAACGACTGCACTATCGACAATTTGTTGTCCCCAACCAATTTAGAAACTTATTTTAACTATTAATAATAACAATAATAAGGCATTGATGCAATAATTCACCCTCACACGCAAGCCACGGGCAAAAAAACAAAACGCGAATATATCACAAGCGCACAGGATCCACATTTTGCTGAAATTCCAATTTTGACAAATGCTTTGTGTTCGCACGTGGTCTCCTCAATGAGCATGTTGTTCATAAGTCCACTCGCGCGTCTACATTTTCCCCTGGCACATGCGCTTTGGACTTGGCATTTGCATGATGTTTGGCATGTCTCGGTGTTTACCATCCGTTTGCGGCGCTGCTTGTCAGAGCAGTCACGGTGAGCCACGCCTCTTGTCCATGTGCTCCATCCTCCAATCTCTCCATCCCTCCTCACCACACGCTCTGTATTTTGCATAAAATGTGTATCAGTAGGGCAGCGCTCTCTCCGGCACATGCACCGCGCACATGTAGCGTGGCTTTACTGAACACACACCACACTCGAATAAGCGCATCAAACTCCCCTCAGCCCCGGATCCCCGCCAATGAAAACGCACAAGAGCGTGAAGGAGAGAGAGGGAGAGACGGGACTCCGCTACATACAAAGAGTGAGCCAAATCCTACACAAACAGCCACAACACAAGTTGGGGAGAACGGAAAAGGCGGTCACATTTCCTACTCACCTGCAACGTGATTGATGTGGGTGTTTGTATCAGTGGGTGTGCAGCTTGTGTCAAGTCCGACAGTGTGTTCAAGGATATGCTGACTCCACTTTCCTGGAATTCGTGAGAATAGTTTAATCTTCGCTCGTGCAACATCACACGCGCTAGAGCTAGAGGTGCAGTACTCAGAGAGCTGAAGGTATCCAGGTATCATTGGTGGAGACGAGTGTGACTAATTCAGATCTAACAGAAAAGAGGTGCCATCTACTGAATCACCTACAGCTTACAGAAGAAGAAAAAACAACAACTTCACCACCACTGGACTCTTTCCAATCAGTGCTTCCTATTTTTGCGCTCTATGGAGCAGGTGTTTTGCGCAAAACTCTTTTTTGACTTTCTCGTCTGCCTTTAAAAGACTTTTGCTCCAGTCTAGTGACGTGACATTCACGGAGGTCTGCTATCAAGTTTATCCAGAGGTTTAATCATCCACAAGAGAGAAATGGATAACAGCCCCGGCGGTGGTAAGATTCTATTTTATGTTTGGCGTGCTGCAAATGTCTAGCAATGGTGATTATGACAAAAGTTAGAACTGAATAACTGATCGATATTCATTCATGTTGGTACCAGCGATCAATAAACGATAGCAATTCAGCTCGATTTGATCATAATGTGTTATCAAGTGTAAAACAGAGCTGAATTTGATTGGAATGAAGCAGAGCTTAAATGAATACATCACAGAAATGCGATATCCCACTGATTTAATAATTGTGCAAACCACTGATTTATTTATTTATTCATTCATTTTTACTTGTGGCGATTTTTTTATCATTACATGCAGCAACGAGTGGGTGAACTATAATTTTGAGGGTTTTGTATTTTACTCATTTCTGAGCTGAGTGGTTTTAATTAAGACTGTGAATTTAAAGGTCAAACAAAACCCAATTTTAAAGTAAAACTTCATGCAAAGCTACCAGGACGTTGCTGTGCTGCGTTCAAATGTCCGAGCGCAACAACGCCTGGGAAGGTGAGCCGCTCGGGACTGAAGGGAGGCTGGCCACTTCCTGTTTCTCCCCACGAAAACAAACTCACGTGGAGTTACAGTATGTTGGCCGGCACTGTAATCATAATCTGTCATGCCAGAATTTAAACTGCAGCCCTGTCATATCATGCAGAAAAACACTGTTTGGCGTAGGGGGCGTGCCTGTTTTCCTTTATCAAAGCCATTGCTGGAGTGCCTACAATTTAAAGGCTGATAATGGAAGGACCTTTATCCGTTAAGTGGTATTAAGCAGCGTTTTCTCGAGATCAGTCAAGGGTGCACATGCTCTCTGCTTCCCTCTCCTAATTGACGGTGAATCATTTACAACAGCCACGGTCACGTTCTGGCACAGGTGATGGGCGCACCCTGTGCAATAGAACTGGAAACGAACCCACTAACTGTGTTATGACTTTGAGATTTCACTGATAAAGTGGGCCAGAGTAAATAGATGAATAATCATATATTAGCTGTAGTATTACTCAGCCGATAAAAACAAAGATTGGGGTGCTGGGTTTTGTTGTTTGTCTGTCCAAGAGGCAGAAGCAGTGAAGCAGAAGGTTTTTCCAAAAGTTTTTACATCTTTATTTAACTGTTTATTTATATTTTTCTTATTTACTTGTTCAATTAATAAAATAAAATAAAATGTCTTTAATGACATCCCACTTTTTCCTCATTTTGTAGCCCTTAATACTTCAAATGGTGACCACATTGGCTTGACCTTTAATATTTCAATAATGTTATTGGGACCAAACATAATTAGATTTATGAGTTCAGTCATCTAAACAAAGCTATAAACATTATTATAACCACATGCCTCCAATTGCCAAGGCTGTTGAAGAATGAGTTACAGACAGACTGAGTGAGTGAGTTGCTGCATGTGAAGGAGGCATTCACCCAAAGGTTAATGCAATAATTTATTCATACATAAAAGATCTTATAACTCAAATAATAGACCCAAATTCACGATATATAGCTTAGCAGGCTTGTTATGTAATACTAGTAAACATAATGTAGGGGAGTAGGCTACAGTCAGCTGGAACAGGTTACACAGGGCCAATTATTGGGGAAATATAAATCAGTAAAAACTAATATTTGGAGCATATAATAACATACAAATGGTTGGGAACGCATTGGAAAGTATTTATCAACATTAGTATTCACATCAGCTGTTTCTTTTTAAAAGGCAGTTGGACCAGGGTGTGGAAGTCAGAAAACGTTTTATGACACCTGCAATGACAGCTCTGTGGCACTATAATAGTACATAGCTATAATGTTTGCTCGCATTTAGGCGTCAAATGATAACCAGATGGTGTAAGCAAAATTGGAGAAAAAGAAGAAGTTCTATGCCCTTCACTGCTTAACTTCACGGACTTTAGTTTCCTCTCTAAACCGTCCTCTGGCACACCCCTGGTGGAGATCTGCAATATTTTCAGCATCATTAAAGTATTCAAACCATTTTTCGCCAAGTAAAAGAGTGCGTTGGTGCTAAGGCTGACTAACTGGCACAAACATTCAGACAAAAAGCCCCGTTTTTGTCAACATTATGTCCTCAGTGCTTAAACATTTGCTAGATAGTAATCCAACCCCATTATTTTTGAAGTATGGGGGGAAAATAGGCCACATAAATAGGCTAGAAGACGTTTCAAACTCAGGAAAAAATGTGTATCCCAAAGTAAGACACCTGTGTCCTCAAAAATATGAGTAGCCCTATCACAATATAGGCCAATTTCTTGTCAGCAGCCTGTATCGCTGCACCACTCAGAATGGAAGATGCTGAGTGGTGCAGCTGACCTGAGTTACAAGTGAACCAGTCCTCTGGTTATAAATTAAGACTCAGCCAAATAAAAAATACATTTAACATCCCAGGGCATGACTAATCACAAACAGATGGATTTTGAATTAAACGTGTTTCTATCTTCACGCGAATTTTCTCCGAGATACTTTGGTCTGGTCACACACTGACACACAGTTTTCGCCCTGCTGTTTTAAACTTAGCTGCACGGCCCGGCTGTGCTGCTGCTGCTGGTGGTGGTGCGCGGTCAGACCACCCTGCCGCATAACATGCTGCTCTATTTAATTTGGCTCTTTAATTATAAGCCTCTGGCGGACTGTAGAAGCTCTGGCTCCCGGCTGGAGCGCACGCTTCACATCTTCCCGGTGAAAGCCCTGTCAAAAAGCCCTCCTCACGTGGCTTCCCTTGCAGAGCCGCGTGCGACGCGTGAGATATCCGGGCCCTCCTCCTGCCGCTACCCCGCTCTCACGGACGCTTCTGTGTTGACGATGCCGCCTGCGGTGGTGGTGAGGCAGAGCTTGGTCAGTGGGTCAGCAATTCCACACGTTAACTCTTTTCTCTCTGGTCACGTTTCCCCGCCTCATGCACCACTTGCTTCTACTGAACACCGCCCCCTCCTTTCATTTAAATCAGTGCGAGCTTGCAGTGTGGTACAAAGCTGAGTCGATTTTGATTCTGCAACATCTGTCCCCGACGCATCGGTTCAGGGCACTCGTGCATTCAGCGTGCGTTTGGAGTGGAACGTGACTGTTAAAATGCTGAAAGCTTGCATAGCAATGAAACCGACGCTTTATCAAGACCACAGAACAGACTGAAACAAGACAGGATGTTACACGACGAATCATATTCTTGGGGTCTCTAAAATAGGCCATAGCCACCCACTGTGATACTCTAATACAGCTCGCCCTCTTAATTGCATGAGCCAGAGCTGCTGTGTGATGCGGCACCAGTTTCGAGAGAGCTGCTAGAGGCACATAGACACAATTCTATCAAGTTCCTGCGATATTGACCTACTTTCACGAGCCCGAGGTAACAAAGTCTTCTGCAAACAACCCAAGTAGAAACTGTGTTCAGCATAGCACAAACTCATTTCATTGGCCGAAGAGACCTACATATTTTCTGTTTTAGAATAATACTAATAAAAAAATAATATTTTCCCAGAAAGTCGGGATCTATATTTATAAACTTTACCCCAGGGGAAAAATAATGACTGTAGTCACTTTAACTGTGCTTCTATCCACTTCAGCCAGTGAAAGTAAGAGATAAAGAGGGAAACAGAAGGGAGAGAGAGACCGCCTGTGGAGGATCCAGTGCTCACGTTTCTCTGCCTGCTTTCTGGTCCCAGGCAGATTAGCGTTTGCACGGGTACACTAAACTTAAGATGGGCAGTGACCGCGTCCTCAATTAATGCTGTCTGCGTTGACCTGAATTGTGGGAATCTTGTGCACGTTGTAGCAAGGTGCATGGAAATCCTCTGAGTACGTGGGAAATCCTGTGCAAGGCACAGGATCAGACAAAACTGGAGTTTGGTTCAGGTGCTTTAATATGGCATGTAGCCTTGCAGGAGTTGCATTACCTGTGTTTGCAGTCAGTAGATCAATACATTCCTGTATGTATTACAGATCTTTAATAACCCTCCTAATGGACTATTTGCATAAGATGAAAGATAGAGTTTTATCTTTTAAACGAAAATCTATGTGTAGAACAGAAATGAATTACAGCAGCACTTCACAGCCTACTTGGACACTTCCTGCACCACTATTCAAAAGCAGAAACGGATTATTCATTAACAGCGTTCACAGTACAGTGGCTCGGGAGGGGGTCATTCATAAACACAAGGCTACTGTACATGTGAGTCTTCAGGTGGACATGCAATGTGTTTGGGTGGAGTGAGTCGGCGTGGGCTGGGCATTCACTGTCTGCGTGTAGGCTCACAAGGAGGTGAGGCTCAGGTCTGGTCTGCTGGATCTGTCTATGACTCTGGCATGAGTCAACAAATCCTCCAACACGTGCTGGTGGAAGGATTATCAAAACATTTGCGCTAAACAAATGCTGTTCGCAGCAAAGGGATCGGTCTCCAGGCACATTCAGCGAAAACCAGCGTGCCACTCTCAGCTGCATGTGCAAGTTTGAAAAAAAAAGAGTTTTAAGTTGGAAACATATTTTTTAGACTGCTTTTAATACTGAAATAAGTGCGTACAGAGCCTAATTTGTAATCTTGAATGTGTCTCTAGTCGACTCTGCACACTGCCTTGTTATTACGGCAGTCCAAACCACAAAATCGAGGTTTTACCTTTGCACAAAAAAAAAACAAAACAGAAAACAAAAACGTGACTCACATTCTTCTACTGTGGAACGACAGTAGCAGAGGCTCGCTGCTACCTCACGCTCAGTGAGTGAGGGTGGCGGCGGTTGAGGGCTGTCCCATTCAGCGTATGTTTATAAACACAGATCTGACTTCAAATTGTGTTAGATTTCAACACGAGACTGCGGATTTGGTTCGGCCAGTAACCGTGTCAGGAGTCCACGCATGTGAGGCGGCGGTCAGGTGTCGTGCTGTTAGCTGGCGCTGGGCACGGTGCCAGGGGAGCGAGGCTATTATTGGAGCGGAGGAGGCAGCAGACCCCGCAGACACGTGAGGTCGTGTCTCCGCTCATCCACAACGCCTGACTAGAAGTGAGAGAGCGAGAGAGAGAGACAAACGAAAGTTCGGAAACAGCCACAGTTGAATGACAAAAAAGAATCCGCTAATATTTACAGGTGCTTTAAGACTGCATGACGCAAGAATTATTTTTTAAGTGATTCTTCTAGTGTACGTCTCTGTGATTCGTTGCTGTGCCATCGGCAGTCTTTTTAGCGCCCACTTTATCCTCTTGAGCGCACCATTACGCCTATTACACTCAGCGTGCAGCGACGTCGCTGCAGATACTCAGAGCCGCTGTCCACAGATTGTGCAACATTACATCACAACACATCCACAGCTATAAAGTAGCCCTGCAGGTTTTCTAAGCAATTATGGGTAGCCAGATCTTTTATTTTTTAATTTATAAATCATCTAATCCAGCCAAATTTAAACAAGGCTATATTTTTTTTTTAAAGTCTTTTTATGTGAACATCTCCATTCTTTCTCTTCAGGAGGAGTAATCCTGTATGCTGGCTCCTCTGGCAGTGCCAGTCCCAGCCCTGGCAGCCCTTCCAGTGGATACCAGACACAATCACCTTCTTCACACTCCCAGCCCTCATCTCCAGAGGAGGTTACCTTCACGGAGATTGGGGCATTGAAACAAAGGGCAGCTGGGTGCAACACTCCATCCTCCAAACTGGTGTTCCAATTCCCAGAGGTCTATAGTGGCCCCTCAACACCAGCAGCTACTCCACAGCATTCCTATGCACACCCCATTGCGGGGAAAAGGCCATGCGGATTTCCGGGAACTTTCACCAGTAAGTTTTCCTAACTGTCGATATGCATAAATATTTATTCCTTCATATACGTATGTGTGTGTTTTTGCAGCTTATCTCACAGTTCACTTTCCTTCCTCAGAGACAGGTGGAATGGTCTTGCTTTGCAAAGTCTGTGGCGACATTGCATCTGGTTTCCACTATGGAGTGCATGCATGCGAAGGATGCAAGGTAAGGCAATAATCAGAAGAAAATGTGAAAAAACTGTGGAATATTTCATATGTGTGTTGATTTTTTTTGTGCCCTGGTTTCTCATGGTATATATGTAAACATGTCTGTTTGTGTCAGGGGTTTTTCCGACGCAGCATCCAGCAAAACATCAACTACAAGATGTGCGTGAAGAATGAGAACTGTCTGATCATGCGGATGAATCGGAACCGGTGCCAGCACTGCCGTTTCAAGAAATGCCTCTCTGTCGGCATGTCAAGAGATGGTGAGACATCCTGACATATTTTTATTTTATTTTACTGAAATTTCTCCTCTCGCTCTTCTGCCAGAATACCACAGTGCTCTGATTAGCTAAAGCAGCAGGGAAATGGGCACACAGAAAGTGGTGCAGTACTGATATGTAGGTCTGAGTGAAAAATGTAATGCGGGAAGACTTTTGAGGTCATCATGCCAGTAGCTCAGTCACTCAGTTTGTAGGAAGACTTGCACCTGTCTTGCCCTCCTACTTTGTCACTGCACTGCCTGTAAGTACCATCTGGCTTTGTATCACTCTTTTTAAGTTACTAAGTGTCTTTCTGCTGCCCTTTGCAGCATCCACCAACACCTACCTCTATGCTCTTGTTCAGTGCAGCCCCTCCCCCTTATATGTACCCACTATGTTCCCTCAGCTCCCCTTACATCTCTCCCTCAGACAGTGATTTATGAGTAGAGGAACCTTGAAGTCCCTAAAGCTATCTATCATCGGGAAAACTGCAGCAAACACAGGAATTATTTTAGGAAATTGGAACAGGGTCAACGTGATTACCTTGTGTATGCCCATAGAACATCTTACTGCAATTAATAAGGGACAGGGCAACAATTAAGCAAGGGATGCAGAAACCATCGTTATGACAGAATTTTTCAGGCGTAACACTCCTTTCACCTCATTCTGGCTCTGATAGCTGAACAGTGATTGATCACCTATCACCACAAATTAAGAAAACAGTTGGGCTGACCTAGAAAAACAATACAGAATCAGCCCTATAGTGTACTCATACATCATGACCTACTTGGTGTAGTTTGCCTGTTTTCTTCCTCTCAGTATGGTTTCTGCTTATCTCCACCCTCCAGTCCTCTGCATTGCCTAATCTAGTAAAGAGGTTAGTGTTATTTCTGCATGTGCTTGACACTTTTGGTGCACAGCAAAGAAAAGAAAAAAAAAGACGCTGGCAAAATGCATCCAAATGAGAGAACATTCAGGTTGACCCTCTTACGGGAGATTTTTGAATGTGTTAAGGACCACAACCTAGAAACCCCTTTTTGCTCAGTTTCAAGCATTACGAAAACAGGAAAACCGCAGGCAACTGACTGCAGCCCACAATAAATAGTACACCCTGATTTCACACCAGGCAGCTGTGTGACTCTGGCGCTGCAATATAGGCAAATATTGAAGTCCGTTGGCATGGTGGCACACTTTTCTTCCCGTAATCAGACAGAATACAGGAAAGTTTCTTTAGGTTTCTTCCTTCTGGTTAGATTTTAAAATGCCTTTCAACATAATTTGCATATGCAGCTCAGTAGTGTGCATTTGCTTCTTTTTAAACCATGATGACAGGGATTAAGCTCATGTTACGTTATTGGCCACATCCTCATCAAGTTACTCTGCAGATTACAAAAGCTTCTTTAGTATATCCTGCAAACTACTACTACAACTACTCTTGATCGCTCAGTTTTGCACAGTTATTGTCATTCTGCTTTTTATTCTAAATTGTGGTTGTATGCAGTATGCAACTGAAATAGATATAAATACATATATGTATACACCACTATACCACTTATATGCTTTATAAAAGAAATCGCGTGTGCTCTACTTTCAAGTCTTTGAAGATGTACCATTTTTATCTAACACACACTTCTTCACTTGCATTCGCTTCCTGGTGACGTGCACTACCCAGAATAGAGAATACAATAACCACAACTTGCTCGGTTCAGACCTTAATCCTCCCTTCACCTTAGTCAAATCTTGACCTTATAATTATATGATTTACATGATGAGTACTTTTGTCCCCAAAAGGGAGGCAAGTCCTCACAGTTTGACAGTATGACTGCACAACAGGAGCGCCACGCACACACAGTCATTTTCCAGCATCGCCAACCCTCGTGTCAGTCTTCTTCATGCTCTCACTTCTGTCTCCTCAACTCTTCAAGCCCACCACTCTCATACTTCTCCTTCTCACGATCTCAGTGCCAGTGACATCATGCCGATGTTGCCCCACTGCCCTACTTACAAATGGAGGGAGGGAGCAGTAGAGGAAGACGATAGTGGTGGATAGAGGAGAGGATGAGGCAGATGGCAGCAGGGGGTCTATAAATAGCCTCTCCAGCTGATGGTTACTGTGAGAAGGGGGGTGGGGGGTATGGATGAAGAAAAGGAAATTTTCATCTCCCCACTTGTGTGATTCACCTTGAAATCACTGTAAACAGTTTAAGCATGTTAAGCTGCGAGTTGTACATCTCTTGATAAAAATGAATAAATCTATGAATTCATTTGTAACTTTCGTTGTTGTTGCGCTGCTGATTTGGATTATTGTATTTGATCAAATAAGAAAAAGGATTACCATTTATTTAGAAAAAGACAAGAACGGAGAAATGAAAAGCAGGGCACAAAACAAACATTTACTGGGATTGCCCATGCTGTCGGTGACAGGAACCTAACCTTTTCTCTTCTGCTTGTATCTTCCTTAGCGGTGCGTTTTGGCCGTATCCCTAAGAGAGAGAAGCAGCGACTTCTGGATGAGATGCAGAGCTACATGAACAGCCTAAATGAGTCGGCTGCCATGGACATGGACTCCCCTTCAGTGAGGGAAAATCCCACCAGCACAGACGACGGTACCTCAAAAGAGGCCATTGGAGCCATTTCCAGAGCCTATCGTGACATCTTCACCAGCAACAGCAGCAACCAGGAGCGAGCATCCAAGTCAGGCAACATCATCTCCAACAACAACAACAACACATCTCCCTTTTCTCAGGATGGCAATTTTCCTCAAGTTTCATCTCACCCCTCCTCAGCTCAGAGTTATCAGTCTTGCCCAGTTACCCCCGCCAGTGTATGCCCAGTCTCCTCTAATCACAACCAACCTGCATTTAACAATATGGACAGCAATCGGTATACCTATTTAGTGTCATCAAATCAGAATCACAACAAGTCAAATGCTACAATACCTCAAAGGGGAAGCTCTGCCAATCATGACAGTTTCCACATTGCAGGCAGTACCCAAAATCAGCCCTCGTGCCCATGGAAGTTAGCTCCAGGAGCTAAAGTGCTGGTAAGTACAAGACGCTCGCTGAATTAGGACTGCTGTATGATTCACTATTCGACAAGCTATTTATGACTTGATGTTTTTTGTCTTTTCAAAGGCCTGTCCTCTCAACGCGTGCCCTGTGTCAGGGGCAGAACGCACAAGTCAGGAGATATGGGAGTCTTTCTCTCAGTGTTTCACCCCTGCTGTCAAGGAGGTTGTAGAATTTGCTAAAGGCATCCCAGGATTTCAAGAGCTTAGCCAACAGGACCAGGTCATGCTGCTAAAATCAGGCACCTTCCAGGTAATGACATACATTTTCAGTTATACATTTTGGTAATGATAAATGCATCATAACGTGTCCAGATGTGTTTTTGGCTAAAGCATTTGTCTCACGTTTATCTTTTTGTTCTCGTCTTTTTTCACCATTTCTTGCGTGTTAAGGTTCTGATGGTGAGGTTCTGCACCTTGTTCAATGCTGGGGAGCATACAGTGACATTCCTGAATGGCCAAACTTACCCGCTGCCCACTTTGCGTGCCTTGGGCATGGGCTCTCTGCTGGATGCAATGTTTGAATTCAGTGAGAAGTTGAGTTCTCTGGGACTAGAGCCTGATGAAATGGCTCTCTTCATGGCCGTGGTGCTGGTCTCTGCAGGTTAGAGAACAACAGTTACAAATGCTGCACCGCAGTGACAGTTCGATAATGAATCCACAATGTGCTAACTGTTTCAAATCACTCACACCGGTATGCTCTGTGTTCCTCAGACCGTTCCGGCATTTCGGACACGAGGGCCGTGGAGCAGCTACAGGAGGGCCTTATCCGCGCCCTGCGTTCACTGATCACTCGCCGTCGTCCAGATGATACCACCCTCTTCTCCAAGCTGCTTCTGCGCCTTCCAGACCTCCGCACCCTCAACAACCTGCACTCTGACAAACTGTTGGCCTTTCGCATTGATCCTTAAGAAGTCCCCTCTTTCACAGAGTGCACAGGAAAAAAGACTATTTCACACAGAAAAATACACAGTACATACACACATACAGATATTATCTTCCAAGGGCAGGACTTCCTTCAATATTGAGGAACAAGGAATTGTGCAATTGATGAGTGTTGTTTTGAAAAGGATAAATGAGGGCTACATACATATTTTGAATTGCTGTCGATCGTCATGCAATGTTTTGAGAGGAAAAAATACAATACAATAAAAACAAACTCATGTACACGCATAAACCTCCACACCTCTTGAGAGACATTGTTCAGTTAAAAAGAAAAAGATTAAATCATTGTGTAGAGTTACTAGCACCGTTCTGGAAAAAGAAAAAATCATTTGTGCACTTGCTCATTATATCCTGTATACTTAAGAATAAAAGCCAGTTCACTTCTGTTTATTCCGCAAGTCATACAGTATTAACAGACCATCACTAAGCAGCCGCTAAATGATGGATGTTGTATATGAAATTTTTTTTACTTAGGGACCACTGGTGATGATTGACCATGTGTCAGTTTGTGTTTAAGAAAAAGGGAATCTGTATATAATACATAGTGATACCTGAAACGTTAAGGCACTTGTGTGTCACTGTTTTACAAACATGCCATCTGCATCAGTACTGGAATGGGATCCCTGCTTTAACCTGCACATGACAGGATGCAGTCTCTTTCTAAGTTTTGACTAACCTTCCAGAAAACATTTGGCTCACCTTGAATTTAAATGTGTCATCGTGATAAGACAGCACGATTATAATATTATTTCACAAAAACACAATGTCTGTCACTGTACCGTATCACATCTAGACTGATGGAGTGCACATGGGGTTTTGTAGTTCCTGTGTTTGTTTTTTGTTGCTGTAAATATTATGTTACCCAATGTTGATGTATCGATTATTGAACTGATATGATGGATCAGACATATGAGTTTGGTGTAATGAAGAAGAATGTAATGACCTTCCTGTATTTGGTGGGGATCTGGCTATGCCAAGGGAGCTTTGCTCAGGAGAATGTGTAGTAGGGATTCTCAAACAGCTTAGACACTCCTCCTGCTATATTAGATGATGTAACAAACCAGCATAATCCCTGAAATCACCAGCATTCACTCCACATGCACCCTTCCTCTGGCCCCAATGTTTGTCATACAAACACAAGAAATATTTTTTTTTGGGTGAGAGATCTAATTTGATTGGTCATCTCACTGTTTGCTTGTTTGATTATGGCTGATTGAGCACATCTTGTACATTTTGTACATTTTTCTTCCTAAATAGAAATGATACAATGATATAAAGTTGGAATTATGTATTATTCTGCCTCTGTGTCTTTTTTGTAAACATTTGTGTGGGAAATATCAGTTTAGAAAAGAAACATAGGCTATGTTGAGTAATTAGGCCCGTAGTTGTGCAACACTGTACACTGGCAGTATGCTGTGAGTGTGTTAACCAAGTTTATACATTGTGCAATTATGTGAACGTTAGATAATTTATTGCTAGCAGACTGCATTAATAAATTAGGCTATTATTACATTAGCTGTAAGCAACTTTATAGTACCTATGTTGACTATGTTGACTGTCAATTGCAATGGAAAAGATTATAAATTTGCAATACAAGATGTCTAGAAGCACAAACAACCTTCTCCCCAACAAAGTGAAGTAAGGGTGCCACCTTCTGGTAGAATAATGTACAGCGGATCCCGGAAGCGGATGGTGTGCTAGCGAGTGCTCACTTCCACGTATCATTTGCTGTCACTTAATCGCTTCACATGCCGTCATCGTTTTACGCCTCAGTAATAATAATATGGGACCACTGTTAAACGTTACGGTAAGCTCTGTCACATAAAAATGATAGAATAGAGCAAACGGGGGGGAAGCCAGCACGAGCTGTTGATATTAGTGGCAGGTTAGCTCACAGGCTAGCCTTAGCTAAACAATAATAGCATGCAGGTACATCTGTTTGCTGATAATTATCTGCTTGTTTTGAGCGACTTAACTGTCGTAAGTTAGCGGTTTAATCATTGACGTAGGTAAGATTGAAGTTACGGTGCCATATCTACCTGGACCTGTTGTTGAGTTGTCAGAATGTTTTGGGTTTTTCCAAGTTAAGCAAGAATGAAGATGCCGAGTTCCTGACTCATGAACACTCGCCTGTCTCTAATAATTTGGCCACTTTGTCTGTCCGCAGGCGCTGAGAAACAGAAAGAAAAGTGCTGCAAATCCCCCGAGACCTCAGCTTTGACCTCCAGTGGGAGCATTTCATGACAGCATGTTGGTGACAGCGTATCTTGCCATAGTTTTCCTGCTTGCCCTGTGCGTTGGCCTCGAGCTTACGGCACGCCGCGTCACCCCACCTCAGTCCACCCCTACAGCTGTAGCCAACCCAGCTTTCCGTGGCTTCCAGACAATATTCCTCAGGGCATACCTTCTGGCTTTGTGGGCAGACTGGCTCCAGGGTCCTTATCTCTACAAACTTTACCTCCACTACAGCTTCCTGGAATCCCAAATAGCCATTTTGTATGTATGTGGTCTGGCCTCTTGTGTTCTCTTTGCTCCTTTTGCAGGCTGGCTCCCTCAGGCTTTGGGCCGCAGGCAGACCTGTCTTCTGTTCTGCTTGTCATACTCTGCTTGCTGTCTCACCAAGCTTTCCAGAGACTACTTTGTTTTGATTGTGGGCCGCATCTTGGGGGGACTGTCCACATCCCTGCTAGCAACCACATTTGAAGCCTGGTACGTGCACCGACATGTTGATGTCCATGATTTTCCCAAGGAGTGGATCCCCAGCACCTTCACCAAAGCTGCTACCTGGAACCACGGACTCGCAGTGGGTGCAGGGCTGGTGGCTAACTTACTGGCTGAGTGGCTCCACCTTGGGCCAGTAGCCCCCTTTCTCCTGGCAGTCCCCTGTCTGGCTTGCTGTGGCTGGGTAGTCCTGACTGACTGGGGCAAAGAAGAGGCTCAAGGGGTTCCTGAAGTAGACAAACAGACTCTGCTCACTGGCACTCCAAATGGAGGTGTGACCCATTTGTCTGCAAAAGCACGGTTCTCACGCAGCTGCCACGAGGGGCTGCGCTGCCTACTGTCAGACAGGAGAGTCATGCTCTTGGGGGGAGTCCAGGCTCTGTTTGAAAGTGTCCTCTACATTTTTGTTTTTCTGTGGACCCCAGTACTGGACCCTCATGGGCCTCCTTTAGGAATAGTCTTCTCTTGCCTGATGGCTGCCAGCATGGTTGGGTCCTCGCTATACCGCCTAGCCACCTCAACCCAATACCGTCTACAGCCTGGGCACGTACTCTGCCTTGCTGTGCTGATGGCCTTCTTCTCTTTTTTTATGCTAACCTTTTCCACTGCCCCAGGACAACCTAGACCTCATGAATCCTTTCTGGCCTTCCTGCTCCTGGAGCTGGCCTGTGGTCTCTATTTCCCTGCCTTCAGCTTTCTTCAGGGCAGGGTGATCCCAGAGGAGAAGCGGGCCGGTGTGCTGGCCTGGTTCCGGTTGCCGCTGCACCTGCTGGCCTGCTTAGGGCTGCTGGCCCTCCACGGGGAGGTATCAGGAACAGGTGGAGGGGAGGGTGGTGGGGGCACCAGACACATGTTTGGAGGCTGTGCCGTCATGATGCTGGCAGCTCTGATGGCTGTGGTCAGTCTTTTCACCCTGGGTAGACATGACACAGATCTGAGACTGGAGGGAAACAGAGCAGAATGGGAAATGTAACAAGTCGATCAGCCACATGTCCACTCCTGCTTGTCTGGTTTAAAATGTTTTATCTCAGTTTTGTCTAACTGAACCTAGAGACATCATATTCAACCAGACTACTTTTAGGTGCACATTTTGCCAAAAGCAGAGTTGAATGAAATTGTGGGGTGTTTTGGTAAAAATGTTTAACATTTTATGTCATGTTAATTCCTTATTGTTTATTGGTTACAGAGTTTGTTAATGTCTTTGGGAACATTTGTCAATGAAACTGTTGAAAACTTGGCTGATACTTTTTGTATCAGTCCACTAATTATTCCAGATGAAGTGTTTCTGTCTGTAGGGATTTCACCTGCCAGAATCCCAAGAAGATTTGGTGATGCTGAGCCTTCACCTAATGCTTAAAGACAAATCTGAAAAGATTTTACTTAAGAGACCTGAATGGATATTTGAAATTAGGTGATGGCTAGTTAGTAGACTAGCAAATGAATGTTAGTGTCTACTATATTTCTTTTATTTCTTCCGCAGTGCATTGGTTCCTGTATGTTGAGCAGGATCTGTTTTGTTTTTGTTTTTTTGTTTTTTTTTTGGGGGGGGGTGTCCTTTAAACCAGGCAAGCAGCAGCTTTACTTTGAATGTCTTTCCTGTGTCATCTGCAAAATGCTCTGTTTTGATGTTCTTTATATGGCTCTTTGTGTTACACTTTTAAATAAAAGTGTTTGTAATATGTTAAATTATATTGGGAGGGAGTTCTATTTTGTGGCATATGGTTGTTTTTATAACATTTATTCAACAGGAGTTTACAAATCATTATTACAAATTATATAACATGTCTATTTTGATGTTTTTGAGAAACCGCTTTGATTTGAGTTTTCTTCATTAAAAAATCTCAATTCAGATTCAGTCAGAATCGTTTTAACTGTTAAAAATACTGATGGTGTGATTTGAATGTCATTGTCAGATGTTGACTAAAAGCATGTTTGACAGCATTCAGATGCAAGAAGAAGAAAGAAACTCTTAACTGGTGTTGAAAATCTGAAAATGTCACTGTACCCTGCAAACCCCCGCTGTCCTGGTTCTGCTGCAGACCATATTTCCAGATTCGTCTGGACTTCTGTCCTCATAACGCATCATGCAGAGATCCGTACTCCCTATTTTCCCCGGTGCTGTGGTACAGTCCCAGCGTTTCTCTATGGTGCAACTTCATCTGGATGCTGCTAGAACATCCCTGGGTGGGTGAGGGAGGGGGGTGTCTACTCGAGTCTGAGCGCTGTTTTTGGATTACATCACTGTATCGTCAGAGGTTGGGTATTCAGTCTAAAGAGGCGAGAAGACCACATCAGTCCCAGTCCTTTCTCACAGCTGTCAGTCTTAGTCTCGCCAGACTCCGAGAAATATCCCAATAAAGAAGACCCCACCGCGCTATTGTGTGTTTGGAATACGCACCGGGGCTACCTACTGCTGGACAACACACAGGCATCATGACGCAGGGCAAGGTATGAGCTTTAATGTCGTTATTCAGTTAGGACTTCATTGAGACGTCGAAATCAATATTTTTTAATTTATTTACTGTGAATATTTTCCTAACAGTTAATGTGAGTGCCTACCCAATCCATTTAGTCCCATTATTATCAGGTGCGTAATGGCAATGCGGACCTGTAGATGAAACTGGCTTTCGTCATTTTCAGTAATCATAGAATTACTTGAATAACTAATTTTGCGCGATGCACCGTCACATTTTCTGCAGGACTCGAGCGCACGGGGTTTCTCATTAAGTTAATCTACTTCATTTATTTTTTTCTTTTCATATTCAAAGTATTTTTCACATTTTGTGCGCCGTGTAAGTGATACTTTAGCAAATGCGTCACATCACCATGACAACCTTTATTTGTGTAGACCTGGCTGCATGGTTACATCCAGGCGGTTACATCAGTCATTGAGGATTCTGGATTATTATTGTTTTAAGCTTAACACTGTGCATCTTTTTTTCTTTAACATCGCCTGTCTGTTATGTTTTCCAGACTAACGATATAGATACGAATGATCCCCGTGGGTGTTTCTTATCTTTAAATATAGATCTTGACAGCTGAAGGCTTCATGCGCGTAAACCTGTCAATCAAAACCTTTTGTAATTCGTTATAATTACAGTTATTAAAACTAAAAATGGGTTAAAACTTGACGTACCCCACTGAAATTGTGACAAGACAGCCTGACGTGTCCGGTGAAGTGTCAATTATTAAGAGCAGCTGCTATTTGAGCTGAGGGTTAGATCATCGGTACTATGAGCTGAGGGTTCATTTAAATTTAAAGCACCAAATTAAACTTTAATGGTAAAGTGGACAGTTTTACACTTATATAAGCTGTTGATAATAGCTGTTTACTATTTTATAAACAATTTATTTATGTTTTTGTTATTATTATATATTTCTTTAGTCATTACTCCAAATCTTTGGCGCAGTTCATCCTGGTATAGTACAACACCTATCAAAAATCCACAAGTCCTCACTTTCATATCAATATATGTATTTTGTTGACATTAAAAACTACAAATTAAAACCCCTTTACCCCAGTCATATGTGATTCCAGATATAGAACCATTTGCACTCAAGATTTAATATTAAATAAAGAGGCCAAACATAGGAGATAGTCAGAAAAAAAAATGGTTTGCTATTCGTTGAAATCAAAGTGTTAAGTTGAAGATAACAAAGTGTTCATCTTGTATCCAACCAGCTGGCACTTGCAAACAAGACCACCAACGGCTCTTCCAGTGGAGAGGCCTTGGTGGCGCCTGCACCTCCGAGCTATGAGGAAGCTACTGCAGGTATGGCTGCTTTTTATCCCTCAAGTCATCTTAAAGAGTCTTCATCTTACATATACTCTTAAATATTTGCCAGGTGTTGAATTCATGTGGGAGTGATGGGACTACATAAGCAAATATTGTCTAAAACATGTGTTGTGATGATCCCTTTAGGCGTCAGTGCTCCTTGCTACAACGATGTTGAGATGCTCACAGAATTCAACTGGGATGATCGCAACATCAGGAGGGTCTTCATCCGAAAGGTATGAAAAAGCTTAATTACCTAAAATGCTTACTGATGATAACACTGTGACTGTGAATGCAGCGCATCACTGATAATGTGTTGATCAAGTGCTTTTATATACTTTATAGGCCAGTACATAGAACAAATACTTTTTCTTTTTTAAGGTGTACAGCATCTTGATGATCCAGCTCTTGGTTACTCTCGCGATCGTGGCTCTGTTCACATTCTGGTGAGCGTCTGATGAAAGCAGATTTTTTTCCCAGTATCCTCTCATGTTGAATTGTATAAGCCTCGAATGGTAGCACACTTACCTGAGCCACTCTCTTACAGTGACCCTGTCAAGGACTACATTCAGACTAATCCTGGGTGGTACTGGGCCTCTTAGTAAGTAACACCATCCCTCAGAAGTGTACTCTTATTTTGTGTTGATGTCTTTTCTGTCTAAAGACATATCAAACAATATTCTTGTTGTTTTGCAGCGCTGTTTTCTTTGTCACTTATCTGACCTTGTCTTGCTGCTCTGCACCAAGGTGAGGCAGAAGTTATCAAAAAGGAAATGCACATCATATGGAAACAGTTCACATCACATCAAATATTGAAACACTGGTCTTTGTTTACCCCTACAGGAGACAGTTTCCATGGAACCTGATTCTGCTTGCCATCTTCGTAAGTATATCGCTGACATGTGTTATCTTTTTAATAAATATGACCTTGCTTACACATGGATGGGATTCTCTGAACTTTTTTTTTTTATAGCAGTAAGATATAACTCATTATTTTGTGCATTTAAAAGCTGACTTGCAAGTTAACTCTGGAAATCTAACAATAAATATATAGAGTTTTTTTTAAGGTGATGTTATTTGTTATGCTGTTATTCGCATATAATGCCTATATTTTCTGACTGACTGTCCTATGTTACAGACTCTCTCGCTGTCCTACATGACAGGGATGTTGTCCAGGTATATTTTGCATGCCTTCTTTAGATTGTCTTCTTAATGGATTTTATATTCAAATAATTATAGCCAGCAGTGTATTTTCTTTACAGCATGTCAGTTTAAAGTTAGCATACTTTATTTATTTTAGCAGAATAATCCGATCTGTGCCAGTGCTTTTTAGGCCACCTAAAAAAAAGTATCCTAAACCCCCCACCCTGTGGTAACAATTGCATAACATTTTACACGTTTGCTGTTTTAACAGCTTTTATAACACCAAGTCAGTGGTGATGTGTCTGGGCATTACAGCAGCAGTCTGTCTCCTGGTCACAGTCTTTAGCTTTCAAACCAAGGTGAGAAAACCGAAATGCTCTTCTTTCTGTGCACTTGTGAATCTAACATGTTGACTTACATATGTCTGGTTTGATGTGCTTTCTTCTTTGCAGTTTGATGTGACCTCATACCAAGGTGTGCTTTTTGTCTTCTGCATGGTGATGTTCATCTCTGGCCTGGTGCTGGCCCTTGTCCTCCCTTTCCAATATGTAAGTGTGATCAAACTAATCCAATAATCGCATAATTTTTCTGTCAGGTAAACACGAGTTAGCTGATTGTACCAGAACAGCCGGGATTTAAGACACCAGACACAAATTTGGACACAACTTCTCATTGAAGGTTTTTTCAGTTGTTATTATTTTCTGTCATGTAGAACAGTAGTCCAAGGAAGAGATTACAAACATGTGGGATTCGGTGGTTAATAAAGAAAAAATAGTTTCACATTTTAGATTCTTTAAAGCACCTTTTGCTTTGACAGGAGTTTTGCACACTGTTAAAATTTCCTCACCCTTCTGCATGAGGTAGATACCTGCTATTTTCAGCAGTATAGCTAACTCTCAGACATCCTTTGACTCTAGTAAAAAATCTTCTCGACGTATTTTTAGACTACCTAACCATTGTGTCTTAAAAAACAATAAATAACTACACATTTCTTTTTATTTGTTTTAGCAGTTTAATACAGTAGTCAAATAGGGCTGGTTGTTGTTTTGCTTTTGCTTAAATCTACAGTATTTAAAATAGTAAAAATGAATAAAGTCCCTCAAATGAGTACATGTTTTCAAACTAATACAGACTCAACTCCAAATTGAGAACATATAATAAAATATAATGGTATTTCAGCTGATTGCTTATTGTAAATTAGTAAGTGGAATCACAACTAATAAATGAATATGTGTCATTCAGGTACCCTGGCTGGATGGTGTCTATGCTGTGTTGGGAGCTATACTGTTTACCATGGTGAGCATATAAAGAGATGAGCTATTACTAATAGGCCCAGTCACATTTAATAGAACACGTGCAGTAGGTGCCTACAAACAATATAAAAGTTGAGTTATTTGTTTTGGTTTTTTAAAAATTATTATTAATATGTGATGCAGTTTTTGGCATTTGATACCCAACTCCTTATGGGGAACAAGCGGTACACCATGAGTCCAGAAGAATACGTCTTCGCCACTCTCAACATCTACCTGGATATCGTCTACATCTTCTCCTTTTTCCTCCAGATCTTTGGAACAAAGCGAGAGTAAACCTGTCGACAAGAGCTGCACCAATTACAGAAATGTAGTCAAACATAAAAAGAGTCTTTTAAGCTGTTGTTGATAGTGGTGATGAGGCTCCCAGTTAACAGCTTTATTTATTTATTTTGCCTTATACAGATGAGGTTGTCAATACTTTGTACAAGTAAACACCAATTTCTGGGGTATGTGAGTATTCACACATAAAATGTCTATAACCTTTCCATCGTCTCTAGCATGTTTGTGAAGCCATGACCCAAACTGTGGCCTATCACCCAGAAACACTCAATAATCAGTGATCATCTTCATTTCATGTAGCGTTATCAGACTGTGAGTGTTCATATAAAACTATATGGGTCTCTTATTGTCATGCTTGCATAGGTATAATAAATTTCCTGCAAATAATAGATGTTGATAGTCATTAGGAGATACATTATGGATGACTCTAAAAAAAAATCTAACTATGCCAAATTCAGTCATTATATCATGGCACTGTTGCTGTGGGTTTTCATGTGGATGACTGGAAGCACAAATGAAACTTTAAAAAGGCTTAAAAGACTTGAATAATTTGCCTGTTTTCAGTCGCATCTATTCTTGTCTTACTACTGTGAATTACAAGAAACCCCACTGTGTCTAACAGTTTGAGGGTAGGAAACACGTTCTCTGGAGTTTGAATGACAATCTAAAAAAATGATTTATTCAACGTGGGATTTTGGTGTTGATTTCTGCCTTGACTTGTTGATTTATGTTAATGTTATACACTGTTTGGTCAGTAAGATATTACACTATATTCACCTTGTTGTGGTGTTTATGGTATGTCATTGCATTTGAATCTGAACTCTTTTAAATCATGTTTTTTTCATGAATAGTACTTAGTTTGAGGAAGCCTTCATTTTCAGCATTATAGTTTTTTTTGGGGGGGGTCTGTATGTACACTTCTGTAGTTGGTTTGAAGTGGTGAGAAATGGTAAAATATAAACATAACAGTGCCATATGTGCATGGATTGACTTTTATTTTTGATAAGGCCTGTACTTAGAGAGGGATTTGAACGCTGTATTTCATAAGATTTGAAGTTTATTTTTTTAAGACAGAAAGATGTATTTTAGAAAGTGTATGAGATAAAATGTGTAGCGAGCTAGATGCTTAAAATAAATATATAAGTCTTCTAAAGTGGCCTTGGATAACCTTTATTTGATTCCATTGATGCAGTTTCACGTTTTATCAGGGCCCTGCATTTCACGCTAGATGTTAATGTTATATCAGGTGAATGTGTATGACTGTCATCATGGTTCTCTCTGATTAAATAAATTGTGCTAAAAGTATCTTGTTGTTTCATCTGTATCAGTAAAGTCTTTGACTGAACAAAGGGATTCTTGGGTTTGGTAGTTTGGGGCATCCCCTATACTGAGCCTAAAATTATGTGAGCCTGGCGGCTGGGAATGGGTTAAGTAGCAAATGCTAAAAGACGTTATACATTGATTTACCAATATATTAGGTACACCTGTTCAATTCCTTGTTAATGTATATATCCAATCAGTCAAGCACATGACAGCAACATTGTGCACTTAAGCATGTATAGATCGCCAAGATGACCTGCTGAAGTTGTAAATGACCATCATAATGAAGAAAGAAAGGTAATTTAGGCATTTCAGAAACTACTGATCTACTGGGATTTTCCTACACAACCATCTCTAGGGTTTACCAAGGATGGTCCAGAAAAGTGAAAATATCCAGTGACCAGTATGGTAGTATGGGAGATTGAATCTACTGTGTCATCCTATCATGTCAAAATAGGCCAAATTGTCTGAGGAATGGTTCCAGCACTTTGTTGAAAAATGAAGTCAGTTCTGAAAGCCAAAGGGGGTTCAACTGCATACTAGCAAAGTGTCCAGTGAGTGTATGGGTTCATAAAGACTCATATTTATCATTTTTATTGCACAAACACAAGGTCATCCAGAAATAGACAATCCACTTTTACAGTTCACTTGTGATTTGCTGCAGAAACACATACATTTTAAGGAAACATCCTTACTGGTGTATCTCTCATGGAACAAATTGGTTTATTGTGTGTTGCAGAACTTTCAAAAATAGCATCTGGCAACACTTTAATTTAAGATTAAAAAAAAGAAAGAAACGTGTGAAATTATGGCATTTCATCCACTTGGGATAAGAACAGTTCCGTAAGTGCATTTTTTTCCCCATAAGAATAGAACAGAATAGCCCTTTATTATCTTTGTACATGTACAGGGAAATTATGGATAACGAAATAACTGTCATTCACCATTGTCCTTGACCTCATTGCTTTTTCCATCGAGGTCAAAGGCAATTGATCAGTAAAAGAAATACACAGGATTTAGTGCGCTTTGATTGTATCCACAAGTCGAGTCCTACGGCTGTGACGTAGGACTAAACGTCAAAGACCCTCCGTTAAACCAGAGCCCTAAGGCGTCCCACCATTCTGCAATCGACCAGTTAGCCTTAGGTACACTGGAATTTACAACCTCCAATCACCCAATCACAATGTACGATGGTCAGACGCTCGGTTCAGCCATGTTGTGGTTTTGAATGAGGAAGAAGCGGGAGATGTTATTCTTCAACGAGTTTATTTACAATTTATTGTCACGTTAAGGATATATAAATGAGTTAGGGTGTAACCCAACATGATTTTCGTTTTCCTGAACGCGTCGGTTGCGACTTATCGCATTCCCGTCGTAATTTAAACATACTTTCATAAATTAGCCGTGTAGCTAACAACGTTAGCTAGCAGGGTAGTTAGCCTAGTTTGCTAGTTAGGTAGCTAGCTAGCTAATTGTAAGCTAAATATCAGGCGGTTTTGCGAGTGTTCGTGTGGTGATAAAATGGCATTTGTTAGGAGTGTTGGTGTTTGAAGCAGTCTCGGCTAACTTTGCCCGGTCGAAAAAAAGCACATTAGCTTAATTGGGTTTGACTACATTGACACTAAGGCTGACTGAAATCAGTGACAGCGATTTGTCTTGAAACTAGCGCCGTTATTTCCAAAACTTTTGAGCCATGTTGAATAAAATCTGCGAATGGATAGAAACGAGCGTTGCCAGTCTTCGCAATGGTGTACCAGCTGCCGAACACCCACATGCTCAACGCACACCAAGAGATGGTCAGATGAGGAGGAAAAGACCCTTTGAATGGTACGAGCAGATATATCTGAACTCCCTTGGTAATCAATGCCAAGAAGCTTAAACCCAGACAGAACTATGAGTGCAGTGTTTGTGTGACCGCAGTGTTTTAGCTCGCTATCCATTTAGCCGTTATCTTAAGTTTGACAAAAACGAGGTAGCGTGTTGTTAACAGGATACCGTCTGTTTTTCTTTAAGTTTGGAAGATGGCCATAACATCGACCAAGATGGTTTGGTGATAAAGAAATCACGAATGGGTAAGTAGAAACTCACTTTGTTATGTATGTTGTGAATGTAATTGTGGAGAGTATAGGCACACATTGTTTTCTGTATGTTTGAAATTTCTACAGGGGATCTTATCGACTCAGTCAAGAATGCAGCTGAAGGGGTTAAGAATCACAGCTCCAATGTGGCTGCATGGATGAAGAACAATGTAAGTCCTGCCTTGAGGAATATGCTGACTACCTCCCCTGGTTTGCCACCTGGAGAACCTCATCCGCGCCCCTCAACATCATCAGCAATTTGGACAGGGAGGCTGGTATGGTGCAGATTTATGGGTGTCCCTGTAAAGACTGTTGGCACACGTGAATCTTATTTAACTTGTATGTGTTCGGATTTAGATCCTTGACAGGAATTCTCAGAATGAGACATTTGCTGCTCCCTCAACAACTTTGGAGTGGAAAACGTCAAAATCTGGTAAGCTTAACATTTTAAACTTTTCAAAAGTTGTTGTATTAACAAAACTGAGCTGAACAGAGATGGGCATATGCAGCATTTTTCCAGAATTCCACCCTCTGGGAATGCCTGTCCACTCCAAGTAACTATGATTAAAACTAAAAGGTTTTAAAACATTCACTGGGTTTTGGATGTTGTGGCACCAGTTGAATTACAGTGTTTTCCAGGACAGTGCTGTTGTAAGAGCTTTCAGCTTCCAAGTATGTCTTTTAAATTGTCTAACAACCTTTATATTTTGTTGTTTGTAATACCTTCTTACTCTACAGTCTTTAATTGGAAATATTTTAGCAAATGTACTGTATCAGACTGTATGGGCTTTGTGATTTTCATACCCCAGTTCTGCTCTTGTACTACTTAATTGCATAAACACTAATTTGTCATCAATCTCAGGTACGTTAGGTCCAGAGTAGTTGGACGGTGACACAGTGACATTAGTTTCAGCAGCATTGCGAATAATTTTTTGATAGCAACAATACAACAGGCCTTGTTACATAATAAAATATAGAAGTATTAGAATGTATTGCAGTATTAAGGGCTGATTTAGGCTTCGATGGTGATGAATAGGCCAGTCACAATAATTGCGGGCTACATTGACCCGACATGTAGTTGGGTTTCTTGGAAGATGCACATCAGGTTACTTAATAGGTTATGGAGTAGATTTTGCACTGAAGCATATATCAGGTGTAAGTCATGATATGCGATCTGCATTTAAGGTTTCAAAACCTGTCTGGACTATAACTCTTACTGTACTTTCTTCCTGTATTTCAGAGTGGTTGCGTAATGAGAAGTCAAATACGGGATCAAAAGTTTGTAGGCGACAAGTGTGCATGAGTCCTGTGCATCGTGAGGTGCCAAAAACAAACGGGCATTCGGTTAATTTGCCACCCTCCATCACCCCTAAATGGCAGCATTCTCCAAGGCTGGGCAGGCCTTTAAGTCTCCGAACGCATGGAACTCAAAGGTATTCTTGTATTCCTTACATCTTTTGTGTGTGTCTGACAGAAAATTCTTTTTCAGCAGTTGCTGCTTGTTAAATTATTTATTATTGTGACATGTAAGCAATATTCAATCATTATTATAATTTTTTTTGTAAATCCAAAATTTTGTCTGCAGTTCGTTTAGTGGAGTAGGTGCAACAAGCAGCTCTTGCACCAGCATGTATGAGAAGACCTTTCCCATCAAAGTGGTGCAGAGCCCAACACACAGTACCTCATCAGGCTGCTTACCCAAGACCAGGCCCCGCTGCACAGCACAGGAGGTTATTTATGAAAGCAGTAATGAACTGTGTGATTCCTTCATATCTATTTGTTGCATGTCTGTCTGTTCATACTGGGGTTTTTCTTTGTTTAACAGTCTGTTCGAGAGGAGGAGAAGGAGGTCTACAGGCAGCTTCTTACTATGGTCTCTGGTGGTCAGTCGTCTTATCTTCACAATGGCAGCTCACACACTATTGTGAGGTCTCACAGAGATTTGTACGTATTGAATCAATGCCATGTTCCTGTTACAAAAAATGTGTAATGAGATATAATTTTGTTTTTTTGGGGGGTGGGGGGCGTGAGAGAAGCATGAAAGATAGTTTTCATATCTTCTTATTTTGCGTAGCATGGAATGACATGGCTTTCATGTGCATTGAGCCAGAGACTTCAAAGGGGATCTTCTGTTTTTCCTGGTGTGCACATTATCATGTAGCTATGGTATGTGGGGATCAGAACAGCCTACCCCACTTTATCCTGTTGTTGTAATCATGTTGTTTCCAGACCAGTCACTTATTGTACCATTCTACTTGTCATTGTCCCATTAGCACCAGCTTCCTGACCACCAGCCGCAGACTGCTGCAGTTCTCTTCTCCAACTGGGTCAGCAGCAGGAGGAACTTCAGAGGGGCCCAGCAGTCCCGCCAGCCCCAGGGGAGTCTCTAGCCAGTGCTCCAGCAACCTTCCCAGTCCACTGGGGGGCCCCAGCAAGCCAGAGATCCAGACATGGTCCCTGGACAGGGACCTCAGTTCCAGCAGAGGAGCTACTCTCATATCGACTCCTTCTCCATCAGCTCTGCAGGATAACTCTTCTCAGGACACACAGTCATCAGGTAATCATACGGAGTACTTGATGGAAATGGGGAGAGCGTGGAACATATTATTGTAAGTGAATTAAACGTTACTTGGTGGTTGTTCATGGGTCTTATTCTTGCCCTTTTCTTACAGCTCATGATGGCGACTCTGTAATTATTGTAGATGAGCAAAAAAGTAAAAAACAAGACAGCTCGAGGTTAGTATTTCTTTTGGTCAGGCTTGCTATTTGAAGTGTAACTTGGTTAAACATAATACAAACAGAGGCATATATAGCCAAACATTTCAAGTTGTTTTCTTATTTTGTTTATAAATGTGTATGTGTATTAAGTGTTTAGGTAGATTTCAGCACAACCAAGGTTTACACACA